CTAGAGTTAAATGTTTTGTAATGCTGTTTAAATCTCATTTATAAACAGATTTTTCTCATCCCTGGGCAGCTCTGTAATTGTTTCAAAATTTCAAAGATCAAATCTGGTACACTGAAACATATTAGTCTTTGAAGTAATACATAATTTTGATAATGTTACTATAGGATGGACTTAGGAAATCGGCAAGGTTTTAAATCTTTAATTAAGACTATGTTAAAAAAGGTAAGACCTTATGAATACAGAGCTGAAAACTTTAGAATGAGATATCCTTAATCACAATCGCTTAAGCTGATTATTCTTTTATTATACTTTTGATTTTTTTTATCCTCTTTTTGGATATTACTACTGTAAAAAGATACGTTTGATAACAATTACAGATACAATGCTATATTGATTGGACTAAAATCCAATTGAATTAAAGTCAGCTGTTCACAAGCCGGCTTTTAGAGCATTTTAACAAATATAAATTTAACCATATTAATATAAAATTATCTAAAAACATATTTTAGGACTATTGTCATTTTTAACGTTAGTCTTAATAAACGTTAATCCATAAGTTATGTTCGTTCAATCGATGTTTAGTTCAATTGATATGAAACCATCAACAGCAGAAATAAAAATTGGTTTTTAAAAGTTAAAGAGTACATCTTATCATTACACTCTGATTGGTTAAATTTTTAACTTCTTTCTTTGATATCGAATGCATTTTAAAATATTCTTGGGTTTAGTAAAACCAGGAGTTTAAGCATCAATCTTGCTATCCACCATTCTAATGTTTTCAGCTCAGGATTAATTAAATATACAAAATATATTGTAAAAAAATATTAATTCACTAACAAAATCTGTGAGCTACTTAATGTTTAAAAATCTAAGTGATAATCAAAGTTTGAGATACCAGTAATATCATAAAATTGTTTTCCCACATCTAGATTTAAACAATGTTTAGATATCAATCATGGCCTTAAATGTTGTAAGGTGTAACAAATTACTAAGAACCTTTCATTAGACATTATTACTATCTTACAATAGGTTTTTTCTTACACTTAATAAATAACATATTTTAGTGAGGTTGAGTTAGGCATAAATATGAAAGGATGCTATGGGTATGGGACGGTTGCACACTGCACAAGTCCAACCTCAACTTTTTTCTTTTAATAGTGCTAAATTAACATTCCTGATTATTGACAATTTTTTCTCCAAACATCACTTTTAAAATCATTTAGTTTAATTTTTTAAATTAAAATTATACTTATAACCATAAAAAATTTGGAAAAGGCTAATCCAAATTTGTTATGTGATATTGCTATTTTAAAATAAATATTAAAATTATTAGTTTTGTTTTATATAAATAACAAAATAATTCTTATCTTAAAATTTAACAGGATTTTGACTTTCATAACAAATATTACAGATGTCTAACAGCTGGAAAAAAGGATATGACCAACATCTACTTACTCAGGAACCAATAGAAATTTCCTTTAATTTATTATATACAAATAGATTTATGAATTGAAAAGGTAAAAAAAAAGATTTGTACATGTAAATATAACTCTTTATGTGATTTCCAAGGAAACTACAATTATCTGTTGTTAGATTTAGTTCAAACTGAATTTAATAACTGGATTAAATTATAACAAACTGATGACATGTTAACCATATAAAGGCTGGAAGGTCTGAATCTAGAAAGACCTTAGGGTATAGGTTTAAAGTTGAACTGCATTTAGGGTTTCCAGTCAAAATTTTCACCCAAATTGTGAAAAAATTGCTATTGCTATTTTGTTATTTTGAGCTATTTTATTATTTCGTTAAATTTTGAGAAACAACTCCAGGAAATGATGAATGAATTCAAAATTACAGGTGGGCCCAGCAAACTATACTCCAGCCCACTCGTCATAATGGGCCCAAATTCTTAGGATTTAGGTCACTGATGGACCATACTGAGTATTCTACCGTTTCCTATAAAATAAATCTCAAGTAAAGTAACCTTGGTAGAAATTCACTAATTAATAATCATGATCATTTATCAGTGGAGTCTGAACTAGGAGACAAGCAGGGTTAGATGGAAGTTGTTTCTTACTGAAACGAATTCACACCATATTATCTAAATATTTAAATCTTTCATATTTATGTACAACATGACATGCAACAAATATTATTTTAATTCAATTATTCATATTCATGGGCATTGCAAAATTACATGTATTCATATCATGAAAAAATTCTTACTTAAATTTTGTATTCATGCAAAATATTTTGTAAAAAAAAATTAAAAATTTTGAATGAATGCACAATTTTGTATTGATAAGAAAATGATGTGGAATTTTGAGCAAATAAAGTCTTTTTGTGTAAAACCACGCAACTGTTGCAAAAGAGAATTGACTGCCGTGGAAACTCTAACTGCTAAAACCTTTTGATATTTTTTTAGAAACTACTCAATGATAAGTGCACATTTACAATTTTGTAATTGATTGGTTATCTAGTACATTTGGCCTGCTGTTAAAAAGACTGCTTGTGTTCATGATTCATATCTTTGTAACTCCTATCCTGCTCCAAATAATAGACCTTGGCCAACAAAGCGAAAAAATGGTACAGTTTTACTATTTTTAAGTATTTCAAACACTATTATTTCATAATTTTCTTTTATTACAGGGATTCAAGCCTTGTATAGATTATAATGTGTCCCAAGCTTTAGCGAAGGACAAAATTTATAAAATCTAAAAAGGCAAGAACCTTTTATATAAAGAGAAAATTTAAGTCAAAAAACTTTATTCTGCAAACTATAAATATAGTTTTACATTTATTTATTTAAAACTATTTTGACTTGATACATTGTTGTTATTTATGAATATGCTTGTTAACCTCAGCCTAAACAGGATTCTTTAAACAAGTTAAATATGATTTTTTTTCATTTCAATTAAATTGCCAATCTAATTAAAATCCAGTGACTAACATTGAAAACCCTCAATACTCAATCAATCTAATAGTATTTGAAGAAACAATGCGGCCGCTTTGAGAAGCATGGAAGAGAAGAGTTTGCCTCTGTATGCTTAAGAGCTGGAATCAGTTTAAAAAGCATTTCATTTCTCACTGATTTAAAACATATGCACTGATTAAAACCCAGTATCCAGCATATAAGAGAGTGGAGAAAATTGGAGCATCTTCATCTCTCTGGACTTTGTACTCCATAAAATATAGCTTTTACAGAGAAGTATGGGAAAAGGTTATCTTAGTTTTTCAACTTACTTAAAATCCTTCAAATGGTAAAGAAGTTAAGATTTTGAGATGTCTTAATAGGGCTGAATTTAAGGATCGAAGATCATACATTTTTTAATATAGAGGAACACCTTGAAAAAAAGATTGGACAAAGATACTTAAAACCTTTCACTTATTTCCCAGATCTTTTACTACTGCAGCTGCTGATGTAGGTGGATATCTAGATGATCCATTTCTTTGGGTAGTGTAATCCCACCAAGGATGTATATTGTATAGATTGTATACTGTATCCTAGTTCATTCAACCCAAGCCAAGTCTTATCATCAGTGGAAGAATGGGTAAATGAATAAACAATTTAACCTGTTACTTGGCATCTGTTACCAACAGGGGAAGGAAATTTCCATGGAGCCGAGATTCGAACCCTATTGACCTTTATCTAGAGAGCACGGATAACGGTGCTTTCGTCGGCAGAGAAAACAAACTGAACGTCCATTTTGTGACCCGGAAGAGAGTCAGTCTTGATGAACCAGTGAAAGAGAAGGGTCGCCAGGATCGCCAGGAGGCGGATTATCTTCATCCATGATTCAAGGATTGACTTCGGTTGATCCTACAGTTTGTATTTAATATAATAATGTAAAATAAAGGTCTGTCAAAGTTTGTGTGTTAATCAATTCAACCTGGCTTGTTATATTGAGTTTCTCTTATCAAAGCTTCCTATTGAGTTCTTTATACGTGAGTTTCTCACCAAGTTTACAGTAGAATTCAACAAAGATGGCCCAGCAGAATACTAATCTAAAAAGAAGGAAACCTGATGTGAAAGGAGCTTGCATGATAGAGAATAGAATAGTTTTAAAAACGAAAATTATGACAATCATTCGAAAATTCTTGTTAAATAAAAAACATTTTAACCCTATCCCGGAACCAAATCTTGTTAAACTTCAACATGCACCAACTTAATAATGTGCGTAAGTTAGTCCTTGAAGTAATATTTACAACTACTCAATGACCAGTAAAGTAACGAAAAAATTTTTTTATTTTATATTTTAGAACCTGGTAACTTTGCTGCTTCTAATGGTGTTGCACAGATTTCATATACTTGCCCAAAGAACTGTCGTCCAAAAGATCATCTGGATTGGACAAAATGCTGATGAAGAAAATTTGGAATGCAAATTTAACATTGATTGATTAAAGATCAATTGGAAACAGTTTGATTAGTTTTCCATGCACACACAGAATTTCTGAGAATTATCTGGAAAATTCTATACTGTCCCTTCTATAAAGTAAAAATTGATATTGCTTAAATATAAATCAGCTCACAAACAAAATGTTCAACAATTACAAATGCTTCTGTTGATAAATAAAGGCTGTCATCCTGGATCAGTTAAAGGTTAAAAGTTCAAAGATGTTAATACAGAGAAAATCCTGTAATTGATAATTAACTATTAAGTTTGTCCATAATTTACCAATTTACAAATGATTTTTTGTGTACAAGTTTGGATTGTTCTTGAAGTAATAATTTGATTTTGATCGATTTTCATTGCCAAACAAATAGCAACAATTTTAAATCATTAATTTTTGTTTAGTTCGTTTTGAAAAAACAATATTTTGTTATATATTAAAAACCTTTTGTTCATTGTTCAATGATTTTTCTGAACAATACAAAAAAAATTTTGTTCATTGTGAAATATTTTGTTATTTAACAAAAACGATGACCATCTTTAGCATGGTGGGTTTTAATAAAGTTACAAGAACATAAATACGACCTTAACCCTTCACAACAAAACACTGTAAGGCTTCATACAAAACTGCACTTACAACTATGTTACTTTTATATATTTATAAGAAAGGAGTTTTGAAAACAAATTGTGCCATGTTACTAATGTTACCAGTTAGTATATTGCTGATAGTGTAAACTTTTGATATTTCAAACTTTGAAACAGAATTAATCAGAATTTAAAGCTTAAAATTATACATATACAATTCTCTGCAACATTAGATTGCATAGAAATATTAAAGATAGAGGCTCTTGATCACTTCCTCTCACAAATTCAGATATCAGCTATTTCAATAATTGGACCAAGATATTAAAATTTATGTTAAAGAAGATTTAATTTCATGATACTTTTTTTTAATACAGAAAAGAGTTGATCTTATTTTAATTAAACATAACAAATAAACAATTTGGTTTAATGTTTCATTTGAAATTCATAAACCTTGTCATTACTTAATTGCTAGAAGTTACACATATGTGTCTTCTTCTGCTCAGCTAGATCCTTGATTTTGTTCTAAGGTAGGGTTTATCCTTTTTTTCAAACATACTCTCAGATCAAATCACAATGTAAACCCAAATCTCTTCAACTCCATTCTGTACCTCTTTCAAGATCTTTGCTTACGTTCAGAGATATTGTTCATTTTTATCTATGAACTTGTCTTTTCTAAAATGGATTCCAATCCCGGATAAATCAACTCATGATCTGAAATCCATCCATCTCAGACAGTACATGTCACATCCTGGATACCACCTTATGTTATGTGATCTGAGCTGAAAACTTTAGAATGGTGGATATCGGGATTAATACTTAATCCACTCTTTTTCTTAATCTCCAGATTAAATATTGCGTGTTCACCTCTCATTTTTAATCTCCAGATTAATTATCTGATCAGGATTAAGGATATCCCATTCAAAAGTTTTCAGCTATGGTTCAATATGATTATGAACTTGCCTTTTTTAATAAAAGGTTTTTCAATCCCAGATTACATCAACTCCTGATAAGTATTTTATTTGCTTTAATTGGCATTGTTATGGTGTACCTTCATGTACCCGACAAAAGTCTGGTATTAGGGATGGTACCTAAATGTATAACTAGCAAAGCTAAAGAAACTATTATTATTGTATATTTTATTCCAATTATACACTTTGACCCCTAGAAGTATGAGTTCGCGGACTGTACAATTCTTGGTGATTTTGCGTACATAAGCTATCTATGTTTATTTATTTATCTATGGATATTCTTCCTGGTTTAAACTCTCTTCCTGGTATAAACTCCGTTCCTGCTTTATCTATTCATTTTTGAATTTTGTTTATACAAACCTTTTAAAGAGGGTTCTCTCTAGAACTTTTGAACATTTTTGATTATTTGTAGGCCTACAATTTTGCCATTAGAGTTTATTTACTGTGTAGAATTTAAGCTACTACTCAAACATGGCATGCAACAGTTTTTATGTTTACATAAAAATTTGTAAAAGAGTTGATTGTGCTTTATTGTTATAATTATAATTGTTATAATTGTTATTATTATAAATCTATCAGTTGGCATATCATTAAGAACTTCAAGTACATTTATCAACCTTTAAAACCTTTATTCTAAAGCACATTCTTCTGTGGGTCATTTAGAAAAGTTGCCTTGATCTTCAATGATTTCAAATGGTTTATTGTGTGTTCACTTACATGAATCTAAAATAGTAAAGTTTTCTCATGTCAAATTGATTTGCTATGAAATTTTACCTTGTCTGCTTTAATGAATATATCATCAATACCAATTGTACCAATATGTTTGTATCCTTGGTTCACCATAAAGCTAAGAAGATCTGATCTAAAAATTAAATCTGTTAAAATTTCGAATTATACATGTTTCTATTGTATCATGTAGGGTTTCCAGCTGAAGCAAATTTTTGGCCAAAAATGAGCAATTCAGTGCAATTTTTCTTGCAACTTTCACAAATTTTTTCACTATATTACACATTTTTTACATTTTACAACTATAAAAAAGTAAAAGGAATAAATTTAAGTTTAATGAAAATTTGTTAAGGACATGTTTTAGCAGAGAAAATTGGGGGTAAATGCAAAAAATTTTAATTTCATGTATTCCAAATTACTTTGGTTCTCCTGGTGGTATAAGATTTTATTAAGTGAAAAAAAATTAATAAATGGTTGAGTAAGTATTTAAATTTTTTACTGTAAGAAAAAAATCTGCCTCCTAAATGGCACACTGAGCTATGTGTAACATGCTAAATAAAGTTAAGGGAACAAAGATTTCAATCAATTCCATATGGAGTATTGTCCTGTAAACTCTTTTAAAAATGTCACACCAAGCTTTGTGTATTATCTAATGGGTAGAATTGTTAAAAAATCAGGTAAGAAAGGTTCTGCTATTCGTTTGCAAAAGTTTAATGGTTTATCATACTAAAAGGCTTCAGAAAAGGTTCTGTAAGGCATTTACAGGTCCAATAAATGGAAACCCTAATCCCGATTTTAAAAACAATGTTGCCCAAAATTAAATATTTATTACCACATAATGTTTGTGACATGCTTTAAGCATCTTTTTTTTGCATGGAATTAATGGTGTTGTGTTAGATCCCCAGGGCAACTTCCCCGAGACATCTTCCCCAACAGCAATTTCCCCAACAACCAATTTCCCCAACACTAATTTCCCCAACAGCAACTTCCCCAACACTAACTTCCCCAGTCACTAATTGCCCCAACATCAACTTCCCCAACAACAATTTCCCCATGCAGTAAAATTTACTGGAACATAACCAGTTGTTGTTGTTGGTGTTGAGGTAATACATGTAGTGGTTAGCATTAATATCCTTGACATTGATGTTTTATCAAATCTCACGAGACGATCCATGTTCCATGTAATTTCCGAGAAAAAGATAGTTAAGCAGATTTGAAAAATTTTGGTTTTTCTACTTTCTTAAACATGTTAAACTGGGATAAGTTATGACAAATGTATGATTTGTATACTATAAAAAAACGTATTTATGACAAATGGAATTTATAACTTGTGTTATCTATGACTTTTGTAATTTATGAAAAATGTAATTTTTATAAATCTTATTATGACAAATGCATTTATGAAAAACATATTTATAACAATTGTTAAAGATGGGTTGTTGCTGACTATCATTAATGAAATGACGAACTTTACAAAAACGGTTGTTTTTGGAAAAACAATCGGTTTTCTTAAAAATACATGTAGGGTAACTTTAAATATTGTGAACATAATTGATGAATTATGAAATAAAATATTTCTTTTTTTATCCCTCTGTTTCTAGTTGATCATTTTTCTCTTTCATTTCTATATTTCTATGTTATTTAAGCTTAATATTGTTAAACATAATAGTTTTCAACATATTCTGATAATCAATTATTATTACAAATATGTATAATAAACCTTAGGTTGTAATACAACAACAAACAGAAATTTTTTTTATTGCTGTGAGTAAAAAAACACATTTTTTGAAAAATGTACAAATCAATATTAAATGTAAATTTGAATATGCATTATATTTAATTTTGAAACATTTAAAAGATGTAGGTTGTGGACTAAAAAAAGCTTGCTTTTTTAAATTGTCTAATTCCAGATAGAATAAAAGATAGAAGGATGAAGAAAATCAAAAATTTCAGTTTCAAACAGGACATATAACTTGAACTGACACTCCTTCTACAAAATCTCTCTCCAGAAAACCATCATCATTCCATTTGGTCCCATTCCAAACCTCGATTGAACGAGCTGCATTTGGAACTCTGATTGGATCAGCTGCACCTCCAAACACTATCAAATTAGTTCTATAAATATGTACAGCTGGGTTAAAGTGCGCTCTATTCAAGCTCCCTCCTGTTTTCCAAGAGTTTGTTCCAAAGTTTAAAATCTCAACACCAGAGAGATACCTAAACATTAGATTGAATGATATTAATATATGATGCTCTATATGATATATACTACACTGTTTTAAATGTGTTCAGAGGTGTATTCAGGGGGGAGCTAAAAATTGTAAGGTGAACCATAGGTAGATATATCATGAATATGATATGTTAAAATGCTGTCAGATTCATCTTATTTTTGGTTTGGGTCATAGTGGCTGCACTACGTTGTAAAATATTTTAAATTGTCCAATGCAACAATACTTAGATTTAGTTTAATTTTATTCTGATTGTAGTAGTATAATTATGGCATGCACTAATACAATTTTCTTTCACTACAAAGGGTTTGAAAATATTGCTAAGCTTTATTACAGTCTATACTCTTCATACTATAATCTTTAACTTATCCATTCAATTTTTAAGTTAAGTATTTTACCACAGTAAATTAGTTGTCTGTTAATCATATTCAGACTATCATTTTCTTGCGATATCTCAAAAAAGTAAATTAGCTAGGAAGGTCAAATTTACCTTTACTTAGAGCTGGGCAGGTTCCAACTTTGTTAACAGTTAGTTCCAACTGTTAAAAAATCAAAATTTCAGGTAGCCGTTAATTAAAGGTAAGCTCTCAGCAGGGATTACAATTCTTCAATTGTCGACTATTGTCAATCTAAAGCTATACCTAGAGAAGTTGCTTTAAAGAAAGTGGAGAAAAAGGAGAAACCAGATCGAGTTA